TGAGAGCTGGACAGCAAATAAGGATGACAGAAGAATTGATGCCTTTGAACTATGGGGTTGGGGAAGAGTACTGAATATCCCATGGACTGCCAAAAGAACAAACAGACATGTTTTGGAGAAAGTGCAGCCAGAATGCTTTTGGAGGCAAGGATGATGAAGCTTTGTCTCCTATACTTTAAGCACGTTGCTTGTAGAGGCTAATCCTTGGATAAGTGCCTAATTCTTGGAAAGGAGGGGGGGACAGCAAAGGAGAGGAAGACCCTCAACCAGGTGGATTGACACAGCTTCTGGTACATGGATTTGGGTGTGTCAGGGCAGGGTTCTATTGTTCTTAAGGTCACTATGAGTCATACTTGACTTGATGGCCTCTAACAACAACAATGACTAAGATATCAATATTTATGTTCTCCATTTAATTTTTGACAACTTCCAATTTTTCTAGATTCATGCTTCATATACTCCATGCTGCAGTTATTAATGGATGTTTGTAACTCTTCTTTTTTTGAATCTTACCATGCCAACAAATGAAGATCCTTTATTAGCTGAAAGCTTAACTTCATCTGCCTCAGAATGGTAAATTCTGCCTTGAGAAGGCATTTCTTTCTTACTCACATTTTTAATGCTTTCCAACCTGAGAGCCTTATCTTCCAACTTTCTAGCATTTTGAAAGCTATGTGGTTTCACAAAGTGGATGGCTAGTCCTGCTTCTTAGTCTGGAAACTCCACTGAAAACTGGCTACCATGAGTGCTAATATTTGAAGTACTAGAGGTTTAGCGTCCAGCATCACAGCAACATACGAGCTACTAGACTATGGTAGACTAATAGAGGAGAAGGAGATACTAGAGTCTATCAGAATGGGTCTCTTAATCTAAAATAGTGCTTTGTGGTCTAGGTGCTAACATGAAGGTGTACTTTAACAACAGAATGAATTCACCTAGTAACCATGGTGTATGCAGGTTTGAAAATACTTTTCCATTTTGTCTTGTGGTCTCAATATGTATGGTGAAAGAATTGGCCATGAACCAATTAAGAACATGTGTGTGGTTTCCTCTGACTGGAAACTATTCAGAGATGTCCTACTTTACTTCTTACACAGAGGAACCATTTTCTTATTTACACATTTGAATTCTGATCTAGCAGATTAGCATACCTTACAGCAAGGTCTTGATATATGCATGCTTCAGTTTTTCCCCCAGAAATAATATAAAGCAACCTGTAATCACCTAAATTCAATAGCTTGATTTGACTTTAGATACAAGCAACACAAAGGATTTAGTGTATACACACACACACACACACACACACACACACACGCACACACACACATGGCTTGGAAGCATGAGTGGCATCTACTTCTTAAAAAGCTTGCCTCTGGAATCTCTATGAACTTAGAGAAATTACAATAGTTATAAAACAGGATTCAGGTCTTTTGTTTATAGGGTAGCTACCCTATGAGGTACCTACCATATGAGTTGTGTCCTTTAGAGTTGAAACTTACCCAGAGCTGACCCTCCAATGGGTTTTCAGAGGCAGTAAATTGCATTTGGGGAGATTGCTCATCCTTTATCCTCCCAAGGGCAGCTGGTAGTCTCGAACCACATGCCTTTGGGATTGTAGTGCAGTTTCTTGCCACTAGGCCACCAGAGTTTATATAGATATAGATATATAGAGAGAGATAGATATATATAGATATATATAGATATCTAGATAGATATCTAGATAGATAGATATAGATATAGATAGATAGATATAGATATAGATAGATAGATACATCAAATATATTTAAGAATAAAGAATATTATTTTGACTGTTAAAATCATGGCATACCTTGTCATTCATAATAATAACTGCTTATGCTTAGTAAGGTCTTTACTAACTGTGAGGCCATCTGCTGCCTACTTGCTTATTTCCTTGGCTTATGATGACATCAGTGTTGCTATGATTACTTTCAAAGATGAGCAAACAAAGCAGATAGAGACTAAATAACTTGCTCCATTAAGAAACACAGCTGGGATTTGAACTCAAGTCTGTCTGTGTGTGCTCAAGCCTTATGTTTCTAGTTCTGGAGTCTCTGGGCAGTGCAAACAGTTTAATCAACTATTAGCTGAAAGGCTAGTCTTTCAAACCCACCAAGAGTCATCTCAGAATGCAGGCCTATTGATTTGCTCCTGAAAGATTCTTTAAGACTTGACAGAAACTATCAACAGTGACATGCTTTCAGTCACCACACACTGCCTCTGCTCCTTGTCTTCTCATGGTATAGGGTTCTCACTGTTGGCATGAAGACAGAGATTTGTTGTTAGCTGCTGTCTTGCTGTTCCCAACTCATGGCAGATTTATACTTAATAGAATGTTGCACTAGGAAATATACATGTAACCAAATCTCACTGAGTCAGTTCTGACTCATTGTGTTTCAGAGTAGAATGTGTTCCATAGACTTTTTCAAGGATTGACTTTTTTCGAAGAAGATTGCCAGGTCTTTCTTCCATGGCACCTCTGGGTACACTAAAATGTCCAACCTTTTGGATAGCAGCTAAGAATGTTAACCTTTTGCATCACCACTGGATGCACCAGATGCACCAGAGGCAAAGTAAAAATAGCTGCTTGCTAAGTATATGGTACATAATTCCTCTTATCACTGACTCTCATGCCATAGAGAGGTTCCTCAATTTCCAGCTGAAGTTGTCCTGTTCTGATAATGGCAATATACTTTTAAAAATACAGAGATGTTTCTTTTTTCTGTAGTATTTTGATTCAGAAATACATTTATTACTGTAAAATTGATTCCTCTCTTTTCTCTCAGAAGTTCCTTGAAGAATATCTCTGGATTCCAGAATATTTAAAGGTGACAATTTATAATCCTTGCTGGAGTATCATGAGGCTGAAGATATTCAGGAATTGTTGAATAGTCACATAGTAGTAAAAAGACTTGAACTGTAGCCCTCAGGATAGAAATGATAGTGATTTTTAAACTCTCTTTCCTATCAAGGCAGTCATCTGGGACAGAGCACAGTTGATGGTATTAGATAAAAAAATCAGGTCACTGCTTGCCTCAGCAGCACATGTACGTAACTGGAACAGTACAAAGAAGACAGACGTGGCCCCAGATCAAGGATGACAGGCAAATCCGTGAAGCGTTTCCATTCATTAAAAATAAAATAAGGTGCCTAGATTCTCACTGTTATTGAAAATTCAAGCTATTTTCCTGACAAATTATCATGTACCAAATACTTCTTACAAGCAGGGATGGTAAGACTTTATTTCACATATTTTAGGCATTTTAACAGGAAAGGCCAATCCCTGGAAAAGAACATCATTCTTGGAAAAGTAGTGTTGTCAGCTAAAGAGAAGACCTTCAGAGAAGTGGATTGACAGTGTCTGCAGCAAAGGGGTTAAGCAACGGAAGATTGTGAGCATGTGCAGGGTTCGGCAGGGGGCCTTTCTGTTGTACTAGGGATCACAATGGGTCAGTTAATTCTACACTCCATGGCACCTATCAAAAACAACAACAACAACAACAACCATAATATCAAAGTCAGAATCTTTGGTGGAATATTATGAGTTCAGCTGCTTACCAAAAAGTTCAGAAGTTTGAATCGACCAGGAACTCCAAAGGAGAATGACGAGCCGTCTCTTCTCAAACATATTTACAATCCTAGACACCCAAAGGAGGGTCATCATGAGTTGGAATTGACTTGATGACCAGTGTGTTTGATTTTGGCTACGTAAAGATAGGTTTCACTGGGCAATACAATTAATTTAAGAGCCTACAGGTGATATGGTGAACAGAGACTGCAGGGCCTAGATTGGTGTAGTGTTGATGAAGAGTATAGAACATACCATGGATTACCAGAAAAAACCAAATTGGTTTTAGTAAATAAAACCAGAATATTCCTTAGAAGCAGGAATGGTGCCACTTGCCTTTACTTTGGATATATCAGCAGTTAAGATGAATCACTAGAGAAGGACATCATGTTTAATTAACATGGAAGTTCATGACAAGAAAAGTAGTATTTTTTTGAAAGGATAATTTATTCAAACTAGACAAAACTCATGACCATTTATCTTTGTTTCCTTTGTAGTTTAGAGACCAAGGAAGAGCATCACTATCTCACTTCAAGCTATATTAACATCCCCACTGACTCATTACAAGGGGGCAAGAAGTATGTGGTTTGGGTCCAAGCTGCAAATGTGCTAGGCACGGAGGAATCAGAACAGCTGCAAATTCACCTGGATGATATAGGTAAAAAATTACAAACTCTCTCTGAGTCCTTAATTGTAAACAACTGACTTGTGTGCTTGACACCCCCTTAAGTTTGTAAGGTTGTAATAAAGAAAACAAAAATTTTACCTCCCAGAGTCAATTTAGAGAAAACTGCTACCAACTAGATGTCTGCCCTTCCAATATTATTGACATATATATATATTTTCTTCCATTTATTTTTTTCCGAATACTTGTTTGTAAAGTGCTCTGGTGGCAAAAATCTCTAGGGAGTTGTGCTGCTAATTCTAAGGTGGAGCCCGTCAAGGCGTTTGAATTTGCCACCTGCTCAATGAGATAAACCTGCGGAATTTCCTCCCGCGTGATTTCCACAAACCCAGTGTAGGGTCAGCTCTGAGTTAGCTCCAATTTGGTGACAATGTATTTGGTTCTTTTTTTAAAATTTCCTTTTGAGAGGTATGGATATGGATATGTCGTTATATGCCGCAGAGTCGGAATTGATTCCTAGCTAACCCCCCCAGTGGTTTTTCAGAGCCTGTAAATCATTCGGGAGGAGGTTGCCCATCTTTCTCCCATGGAGAATCTGGAGGTTTTAAACTGTGTGCCTTCAGGTATGCAGCACAACTCCTTACCACCAGGACACCAGAGCTCCCTGGTATAGTTACAGACATATGTATGTGTGTGTGTGTGTGTGTGTGTACATACACACACAAATATTTAAGATTTTTTTTTTTAGGTTCCAAGTATTGTTTTAAGTACTAGGGAGAATAAAATAGATAAGGTAGCCGCTCTAAAATAACTTGTAATCTACCAGAGAAGATAGAAACAAATAAAAATTTTAAAAGGGTATAATGAGTTTTATATTATAAGACGCCCTTAGAGAATTATATTGTCTGCACGGTATTGGAATTCATACTTGTCTATTTTCTAATACAATTTTAATTGTTATTTTAATGAACATTTACAGAGAAGTCAGATTTTCATTCACTCATTGTTGCACATTTTACCCCTTAGCCTACTTTCCTTCTCCCCTAATTTACTTTTTTTTTAAAAAAAAATATTCATTTTTGCACAATTACCTACCTTTCCTGCTACCGCCCCCCCCCCCCTACAATGATATATCTCTTACTCCGGGCTGTTGTGGTACATATAATGTCCAATCATATATTCATTTTAGACAGCTCTTTCTTGCATCTGTTCCAATGCAATGGTCATGATTTATCCACTCAGCCTATTCTCCTCCCATCCTCACATGTCAGACCTGCTTTACAACAGTGGTGCTATCCATACTTGTCTATTTTCATACTGAAAAGTTTTACTAAATTGATGAAAAATTAAGGAGAATTACATAGCTTTCTCTATGTTCACTTTAGTAAGTGCTATGTTATCTCTATGTTCAACATTTTTTTTTGTTTTAGGTATTTTTAAACACTGCCTTTTAGTACTTAAAATAGAAAAAGCATATCCAATAATATACAATATTAATTTTATTGCTATGCGAATGTATATTCATATTAACCTCATTCTTGGAGATTTGAGCACTTTTCAGATTTTTCCTCTCAGAAATGATTCTGCTATGCATATCCTTCTAGGTAGATATTTGCCTATTTCTTTATTGTTTCCTTTAGATACATCCCAAAAAGTATACTTGCTCATGAGCCTCTGACATCTTTGTCCAGAAGCCAGAGTTCAGCCAAAGAAACCCAAATGTAAAACACCTTTTATTTAAACATGTTAGTTATTTCTACTGTTGTAATATCATTATTAAGGCTGATTTCATCAAGTTAACACCTATTGAGCATTTTTTTATATGCTAAATGTTTCTACAAACATTATCTCATTTAATCCTCACAAGAATAATAATGTTACTTTGTATAAAAGATTGTGTTTATTTATTATGTAAGACAAGATTTAAAAGATGCAAGTATATGCATGAGGAATCGGATTCAGTAATATTTTAAAATGTGAGATAGTAAAAATAAGGAGCTTTATTTCTAATATCCTTTTTTTTCGCTTGTTTTGGTTTTCTTTTTTATTGCTTAAGGCCTAGATACATATTTTTTAAAATTATACTAGTTTATTTACAAAATTCAAATACATTGTTTTCCAGAATAGATAAGGATACAAAAAGGGGGGAGAGTGGAAGTAGTTCTAATATCCTTGACTTCTCTCTTCAGTCTTTATTGAGAAAAAAAGCAAAACAAAAGCAAACAGATTTCAAAGTGTTTGACAACTTTCCTTCTGATTCATGGTCTAGCCCTACCTAAGGGTACCATGCAGGAGCTCTGAGCTCCTTTGGAAATTACTGGTGTTTGCTATTTCAACAAGTCTAGAATGATGTTTAACTAATGGTTCTAAAATCTGTCCAATGCTCTGAATTTTGCCTTTGAAAACCAACACTGTTGTAGTGATGGACAACAGGTTATAGAAAAAAATCCTTTTCTTTGAACAGTTTCCCCAGATGGATTAACGATATTAAAAGGGTATCATGTCAGATATCATCTTAGCAGTGCCCTTTCAGAAGCTAAAATTTCATTAGTGGTAATATTACTGGGAATCTCTAGTAGCATGGTCTGTAGAGACTTGTGCTGCTAACCCAGGGGTCTTATCTCTCTGGTGGTTCAAACCACCATTGACACCTAGGGAGAAAGATCAGCAATAGCTACCCATGTGATTTACAGCCTCAGCAAACCCACTGGAGGCTTAGGTCTGAGTTGGTTCCAATAATGACAGCAAGGGTAAAATTACTCTTATAATTGAAACTACTCTTATAATTATCATTGTTGTTGTGTACCATTGAGTCAGAACTGACCCATAGCTGACCCTCTGGTGAGTTTTCAGAGGCAGTTAATTGCAAGGGAGGAGATTGCCCATCCTTCTCCTGAAGAGCAGCTGGTGGCCTCGAACCCTGTGCCTTCAGGATTGTACTAGCTTCTTAGCACTAGGCCACCAGAGCTCCCTTAATTATCATTGTTGTCACATGCCATCAAGTCATTTGTGACTCACAGAGATCCTATGTATAACAGCTCTGAAGCCTGCCCTGTCCTGAGCCAGTCTCACTGAGTTTGACACACCTAGCCCTGTTACCCCAGTTACTGTGTTAGTCCATCTCATCTGGGGTCTTCCTCTCCTGTATTATGATCTTAAAATGATTGCCTTCACACCTACTGTGTGCCAGGGACTTAACACACAACATCACATCTAATTCTTGAAACAACATGCTACCATTGTCTCAATTTTACAGAAGAGAAAACTAAGAATAGATGAAAGTAAAGGTCAAAGCACTCTGATGTGAACTGGGTCGGGGGAAGGAGTGGGCAGGGAGGAAAATGTGCAACAATGAAGGAATGGAAGTCCAAATTCTCTATGATTTTTCATTAAAATCTCAATTTAAAAAACCCAAAGCCCAAACCCATGCCACTCTGATGGGCTCCTGGGTAAGGAGCAGTTTGACTATTCCAGTTGCTCCTTGGGAGAAAGAAGGACAATCCCCTCCCGTGCCGTCTGTAGTCTATGGAAACCCATTGGACGGTCACCTAGGAGTCAGTTCTGACTCAGTGGCACATAACAACAGCAATAAAGGTCAAACAGAGAAAATACATTGCTCAAGATCACATAATTAGTAATAAGGAAAACAGGATTTCAGCCCATACTTGCAATTTGCTTGGCTCTACAGTTAACACTTTTGGCACCAGCAGCCAGGAAATTAAAATACAAATTGCATTGGCCAAGTCTGCTGTCAGAGATCTCTCCAAAGTACTGAAGAGCAACGCTGTCAGTCAGGAGACTAACGTGTGCCTGATACAGGGGATGGTCTTTGTCATTACATGCCAAGCATCAGAGAGCTGGACAATGACTAGGGATGATGGAAGGATTGTTGATGTTTTTGAGCTGTGATGGTGGAGAAGAGTACCGAATATACCACGGACTGCTAGGAGAACAAACAAGTTCATCCTGGAGAGGGTGAAGCCAGGCTGCTCCTTGGAGGGAAGGATTCTGAAGCTTCATCTGACATACTTTGGATAAGTTGCAAGGAAGGACCAGTCCTTGGAGAGGGACGTTATGCTTGGAAGGGTGGAGGGACAGAGCAGAAGAGGAAGACCCTCGATGAGATGAATTGATTCAGCTACTGGGGTAACAGGGATAGGTGTTTTGGAGACAATAAGATTGGCAAGGGATAGAGCAGGGTTTAGGGCTATTGTATATAGGGTATGTATGAGTCACAGGCAATTGGATGGCAAATACCACAACAATAACAACTTGCTAACTCCAAAAGCAAGCATTAGTAACCTCTATACATCCCACTTTCCAGGTGAAGGACAAGTTTCACCTGGTTACATATTCCAATGCTGACCTCTCACCATGCAAACTGGTGCACCTCTTGTTCATAATTGTTTCATTTCCTTCCATCTCTTTTTTTCCTTCCTTCCTTCCTTCCTTCCTTCCTTC